CACTAAGTTCTTTATTCAGCTCTTCAAGTTGGCTAGCTATCTTCTCCACAGACCTCTCCAAATTTTTCAACTTCTTTAGTTCAACCTCTTCCTCTGGACAGTTCTTTTCCCCAATTAACATGATCCGGCAACCATCTTGTATTCCAAGGGCTGACAATGGTGTCTCCATTTCCTTCAGAGATCTTCCCTTAAAAATGAGTTTCTGCAAAGGTAGTGGAACCCCTATGGCATCTTCAACAACCTGGGCCAGGTCTTGGACGAGTGGCTCGCTACTGCCCTGCTGGGGGATAACGTGAAGGTCATGCTTCTCATTGCTGTGGGTGACGGTCACGCAGAGCCCGGCTGCCGCCATTTCCTCGGTCCCGGTGAGCTCCTCTGCCTGGGTCACCTCGTTCGGGATCACGTCCTCGGCCGGCGGCGGAACCTCCTCGGCCGGGGGCACCTCTTCCACCTGCAGAGCCTCCTCGTCTCGCGGCGTCTCCTCGCTCCGGGCCGAGCGGGTACGGACTTTCTTCTTCATCCGCGGCCTGGCAGCGCCGGAGGCGGCGCCCATGACGTTAAAATTTCAAAGAACACAGTACTGTCATGTACAACTTTTCAGCAAGCTGGGTTCTACAGCAGAAGCTTGCAGCTTTGACCATTGCTTTAAATAGAATTGAGGATAAAATGAGGTATTCTTTTTTCATTATTATTTTCCATGATATGATTTTGTAGATACAGGAATTCTCCCTGCCACCTCCTTTCCTCCCTCCATATTCTCCACCCCTCCCCCCAATTTTCCCCCATATCATTACAACAGTATAGTCCTTCAGCAACAGACACAAGTCCAAAATTCTGCTATTTAAGTATATTATGGTTTTGTAGGTATAGGCAATGGCAGAAAATCTACAATCAAATTGTTAGGTTATGTGCAGTAGCTTCATTGGGAGTCCTTTCCTTTATTTAGGAGTAGAGATGCATGATGCAATGTACTACAATGCAATGCAATATACTTGCATTGTACTACAATGTACTGCAATGCAGTAAACTTCCTAGTTTGCTAGTCTGGTTTATTCAGTTCATTTATAAGAACATATGTATATGCTTATCCACCTGTATATCTCTTTGTTTTCTATTTTGCATGAATGCTGCCTTGTATCAGAAAGAACATACTCTTTATCCCCCAGTTCTTATTTTGGAAGGTTTCTATGGAACATTATCTTGCCTCTCAATATGCCAGAACTTGCTGATTTAAAGTACATGCAGTTTGCGTAGAGGACAGGGCTGGAGACAGAAATGACCCTGAAATTGCAACCACCAGTATGTGCATAGGCTGATTGGGGCAACAGATTGTGCCAGACCCAGTGTCAGCAAGCAAACACAAAAATCCGGTTTGGGATTGCCCCAGATGAGGTTTCTTTGGGGATCCCTCAACTGAACCACTGGTTTCAGAACTTCAACCATGGAGAAAAATGCAGGGCCCATACTCTGTGCAATGCTCGTGTCAGAGTTGGGCCTCCTCAGAGGCTCAGACAGAGCAGTGGACAGCATGGCCAGTTGCACATTGAGGCTACGACGGTACACTAGAACCTACAAAGGACACCTGTTACCAGAATAAAGGATGGAGGATAGAACAAATCAATCAACTAGTCCAGCCAAGTGTTGGCAGTGAAAATCTAGGCAAATGGACTTTAAGATGGACTATGTAAACCAGTGGATTCCGGAGCGATTTCATCATACTTGGAATGGCAAGAATGGCAGCAATTCAGAACTGTTGAACTATTAAAGCCACTGGAGTGGAGCTGCCAGAGAATGACCCACATCCGGGACCCTGGGATGGTTGGGAGACTGAGTGGGACTTTTCCCCTCGTCTCCCGCCCCCAGATGCAAGAAGGAAAAAGTTGAATGTGATAACAATGGTCTTACTCACTTTCCTCTGGCCCTTGACCCTTTGTGCCCTGATCAACTATCTAAAGATTATCAACAAAATAAAAATAAAAAGAATAAAAAATGCACACACACATGCAGGATTGAACCAGTTCAGATAATAAGAACAAAGCAATGCTTACTCCCTTCCCCAAATATTTGTTTGCTGCCCCATAGCAATAAGTTGGCAGTTGTTAGATATGAACCAGGTTACCAGATGAGCTTGCAGAAAACTTCTCTGAAAATTCTTTGGAAGAATAATGTGCTTTCTCTCTAGCCAGAGAGATTCTCTTCATTCCAAACTGTTGGGATGAGTTTAGTAGATCTCTTTCTTCTAATACAAAAAAGAAAAAGACAAAATCTTAGGTTATCAGGTTAAGCCTCAAGGGACATCTGGAAAGTGTGATCCTGGCAGTCTTGTCTCTGGGATAATGGACAGTGGAGGGGCTTGGTAAAGGAGGTTAATTCCCATCTATGGATAACATAAATATAAGGCATTTCCTTTTAAGACTGGGGAAATAATAATTGCCAAATCATTACCTTGCCAAATCATTGTTTAAAGGATGTCACAATTATTCCTTGAGATTTTTCTGAATGTGCTTTTATTTAGACATAGAGAAATGGGCTTTTGACTGAATGCCATAATTATATAGTAGAATTCCATACTTCTTGAAGGAGATTTACAGAATAGATTATAGGAAAAATGTTTCTTGGACCTGGCATGGTAGTCTAGCATCAGGAGTCCTTGACTTGCACATGCTGGGATCCCAGGTGGGTACTAGTTCTACTCCTGATGGCCCCGCTTCCCATCCAGCTCCCAGTCTGTGGCCTGGGAAGGTAGTCAAGCCCAAAGCCTTGGTACCCTGCACCTGTGTGGAAGACCCAGATGAGGCTCCTGGCTTCAGATTGGTGCAGCTCTGGCCTTTGTGGGCGTTTGTGGGTTGAATCAACAAATGGAGGATCTCCCTCTCTCTCTCTTCCTCTTTGTATGTCCTTCCAGTAAAAATAAAATATCAAAAAAAAGAAAACATGTTTCTTACTCTTGGCTTTGTAATTCTTAGGAAGATTTGAATTTATGCATTTTTTTCTTTTGTTACCCAATTTGTTTACCCTTTTTCTATGTGCTTACGTGCTGCAGAAAATGTGCCGCACTTTTAATATAAAAAATTCCATGAATTCAATTAATGAAATGTTGATTGGATTTTTTTGTTGTTTGCTAAAAATATTTACTGAATCTAAAGCACTTTCTTACCCATTGAATTTTTTCTTTGATCCTCACTTTTGGGAAATAGGCTCAGAAAGACAGTAAGATTAGTGCAAGTTTACGTGAGTCTGAACAGCAATGGTGGAGTTTGACCAGAATGTGGCTCTTTGAGTACCATATCCTGTGTTCGTTTCTACTCTAAAGTTGACCTGTGGCATGGAGTTTTGTTGAGTTTTCTAAGTTTTCTATTCTAGTTCCTTCTATGACCAAATATGAGTCTATATGAGATGAATGTACTCATATAAGTTATGTACTCCACAGGCACAGAGATAAATATGACTGTATGGCCAGTAGAAGTTATAACTGGCTTACTGATTGAATGGCAAATGTCCCAATTGTTCAAAAAAGATTAAAAGCAGCTGATGAACTATAATAAAAGGCGCTGTTGCCTGGACACTGAATGCCAGGTGTTGAACTAACAACAGGTTCTTTTGCTGAATTCTCATGGTATCAATGGGAACTGTAAGTGTAAGGAATACGTTTCTAGAACTAAGGAAGTTATTACCTGATTTCCGAAGGCCCATCTAGTAGGTGGCAGTCCAGGTTTCAGTTTAGGCACTCTGTCTCAACCCATTGATCCTAAGCACTACCTAGTGATTTAAAAGTCAGGTTAGAAGGCAATGCTAGGCAGAAACAGCCATGCCTGTAAATGCTATAAAGATGTGAATCTAGCAATGTGTGATTGCGTTGGAATGACTCACACTGTGTACTCTGCCCTCAGTCATATTTTGACAGGATCAAGATTTGAGTCCAGGTCTTTGTGATTTATTGTGTTGAGACCACATTTCCTGTCGGGGAAGATGATTTTTCCTTATATTTTTAAAAGAAGAAACTGATCTGTACAATATAGATAGCCAGGGCATTCACCTGGGGTAATGAAGCACAGGGATTGTCCACAGTTGTAGATAGGTAACTAGCAATTTTTATCCCAAAGAGTGGATATCTTTTCTACAGGTGATTCTCTTAGGGAACTGACTAAAGTGGTGGGCATTGTAGTGTAACATAACACAGACATCCCTAATCTGGAAATCCAAAATTTTGAATGCTAATAATAGGTTCTTAGAAGTGGGATTATTTAGCCAAAAGATATGCCTATTTTTAGTTTTGATGTACTTTCTAATTATTTTTCAAAATTATACTCAATAGTTATCGTTAGAATAATATCCAAGTAATCATACTTCTCCATATCTTCTCTGAACTAAATACTATTAATCTTTGAAATATTTTTACCATTATGAAAACTCATTTTTTATTTACATTCATATGATTGTATCCATGTATTTTGGTTTGCATTTATCAAATTGTAGTGGAATGTGGAATCTTCATTACTCTTTGTTTCTTAAAAATTTATTTGAGAGGGAGAGAAATAGAGCTCACATCCATTGGTTCACTCCCCTAAAGCCGGTAATGACCAGGGCTAGGCCCAACTGAAGCCAGAAACTGGGAACTTGAGAGCCGTCATGACTTATTTTGGTGTCTACATTAGCAGGAAGCTGGTGTCAGGAGAAGATATTAAAACCAAGATATTGAAAACAGTTTTTCCATGTGGAACATAGGCATCTTAATCTGTATTCTGATCACCAAACCAGAGCTACTCCTTTTTTTCAATGATTTTTGGGAACTTTGCTTAATTTCAAATTAGCCTACCTGTCTGTTTCTCTAACTCTTAAAATCTTTTGGGATTTTTTTTGTGTGATATTAAACTATTATCTGACTTTTGTCAAATAATTGTTTCTATCCTGTCATTCATTTCCTTCTAGTCATAACTTGTCTTCACACTTTTAAAACCATGGCGCTATAATATGTTTTTTTTAATTTGTTTTTAAAACAGAAAGTTGTACATGGAATTGATTTAAACCGAATTCGAGGACTTGGGTTTGATGCCACATGTTCTCTGGTTGTTTTAGATAAGCAGTTTCATCCTTTGCCGGTAAACCATGAAGGTAAGACTATTTATCTTCCTTTTTCTGGTATGGGGAGACTGGCTGGGATAGACGTGGTTGATTAATCCAAAGGACCCAGGAGGAACACAATTCAATCATCTTGTACTGTACAACTGGTGGGAAAACTCACAGGTAGAATAGGAAGCTCGGCAGTCATGTTCCAGGAGTTAAAAGTTGGAGAGCAGTTGGTACGATTGGGTTGGTGGTGCAGACTGGGTCATAAGAGCCACGAAAGAGTGCTGATGAGGGAGCGACATTGAGTCATTGTCTCAGAATGAGCAGCCTAGAATGATTAAGTGCTTTGGATATTTTCTGGGAATGGAGTACCAATGCTCAAAGTTACTTTATTTATTTGAGAAGCTCCTATCCTATCTTCTTTTGCGTGAATGATCCAAGCCCTTTAAAGAAAAAATAGAGCAAGGCAGACGGGACCTGGTTTCACATGAAAACTGGAAACACATGGACTTTTTGTTTTCACCAGCTGGACCAGGAACATTCATCTTTTAAATTGTTGTTCTAATGGCACCTGTGACCACAGTAATGAGCTATTTCAAATGTGAAGTGCACTTGAGCCCACCATCAGAGATTTTTTTAATAGTAGCTGAGGTTGTTTGTAGAATTTTTGTATGTAACACTAGCAGTGGGTTTTAAACCTACAGGCCTAAGCCGTTGAACTTATCTGGGCAATAAGATGAGGGTCACTATGCTTGGTATATGCTTGCAATGAAGGAATCTCAACTGAACTTGAACTGTGTCACGCAACACGGTGGAGGAATCCACCATGGGGGGAGGCTTATGGGAGTGGTAGTGGGAATCCCAGTACCTATAACACTGTGTCACATAATAAAAAAAAAAAAAAAATTAAACCTACAGGCCTATACTAGGCAGGCAGGTAATGTAAGTAAGTAAAGTGGGACAAATAAAAGCACATGTGTGGAGATAAGCTTCAGCTGATATTTGATCTTATGTAATCAGTAGAAAACATTAGGAAATGGTGGAGAATGATGTCCTGGAAATTGCATGATCTATCTAAAGGCTTTATTGTCACTCAGCTGTTGCCACTGTAGACATTACAGATATGTTTGGGGCTAGACTCTGTGTAAACATGTAAAATACTGTGGTACCAGTGTCTTTCTGGTGGTGTTTTTGCAGGGCACACTGGGATACATGGACCTTAGAGTCAGGCACCAGGTTCCAGCTGTATTGTTAAGATACTTAGCTTCTGCCTGTCTCAGTTCTCTCTTGAAAGAACTGAAATAATAAACAGTAGCTTTATTATGAAAACCAATAAATAATACCAATAAAACAAATGCCTAATAGCTCAAAAATTTTCTGTATTGCATTAAACATCTCTATACAGGGGATGTGTTTTACTCTCTTCTAGTGCATATAGTAATGACCTCTATAACTGACAGGTCCTGGAAATCTATACATGTAGGTGAATGGTTAGGGTACGGTACTTAGGATCAACTCACCATCTCTCTTTCTGTCTCTCTTTGTCTCTCTCACACAGATACACTTACACCTTATTGCCAGTTCTATTAGCATTTAATGTGTGTCAAGCCCTATCTTTGTAAGTGCTAGTACTTTGGTGAATCTGACTGGACCTTGCCCTTTGTTCAGTTTGCACTGTACTGGTCCAGAGTGGTCAGAGAGAGAACAAAGTAGTAGTGGTGGACAAATATAGTATAGGACAGCAGCAACAAGCAGCCTCTGATTCCATCGTGTCATCAGGTCAGTCATGCGCCTGGGTGCTTGGTAAGCTGTCAGTGCTTACTTTATTGGGTTTATTTTAGTAACGGTCAGAGAATTGTTTCTTGAGGTGTTGTAGGAAGAAGATCCATTTTGGATATGACGTTTTATGTTCCAAGATTGAAGTTTTAATGACTCTACACTGATCTGTTAAAGCACATATTTTGGGTTTGCTTTAACTCTGGCTGTGAATCAGTATTTTATGGGTTTCTTTCTTTTAAAATTATTTATTTCTTACTCCACAAAGTGCTAATTACTTACCTTGGGATGGGGTAGAGCCTAAACATGCTAAATAAGTTTTATGGGTAACTTTAGTATGTGTAATGTTACTGGATACAGGTGAATGGACAATGAAAATATTAGAAACTAAATACTTCTAGTGGAAGAGAGTTCCTGTTCAGTGTGCTTGCAGCCGTATCCTCTCTGAATGCCAATGTTATTCCTACTGTAGATGGAATTGCCTCATGTTAACAGGCATTCTCTTCAATAGGTAGCTAAGTTGCAACCTCAATAATAAGTGTTGAAATAACTTCATTCCAACTAAAAGGCTGAAATGTACCCATTCATCAGCCTCCTCAAGCCTCAGGTGCCTCTCACTTTCATGCCTTTCAACAGATTATATTAAGGCTAGATTTCTTTAAAAAAAATCAGAATGATTTATACTGTAGTAAAATATGGCATTAGGGTCTTAAAAGGTGATTTAAGTTCTCTAAAGATTGATTTTCCTTGTATGGTATGGCAGTGACTGACTTGTGCTTGGTTCACAGGAGTCACTATGAAAAACAGTGAATGGGGCCCGGCGCGGTGGCGCAAGTGGTTAAAGGTCCTCGCCTTGCACGCCCGGGATCCCATATGGGCGCCGGTTCTAATCCCAGCAGCCCCGCTTCCCTTCCAGCTCCCTGCCTGTGGCCCGGGAAAGCAGTCGAGGACAGCCCAGGGCTTTGGGAATCTGCACCCACGTGGGAGACCCGGAAGAGGCTCCTGGCTTTGGATCGGCATAGTATCAGCCCATTGCGCTCACTTGGGGAGTGAATCATCAGACGGAAGATCTTCCTCTCTGTCTCTCCTCTCTGTATATCCGCCTTTCCAATAAAAAAATAATAATAATAAAAATAAATCTTTAAAAAAAAAAAGAAAAACAGTGAATGGGGTTTGGAAAATTGCAGATAACCATAGTTGTTATCATTAACAACAAACTGCTAAGAAGTGTTGCCATCATTAGAAATAAACCCAGACCGTCTGGCGTGGTAGCCTAGTGGTTACATTTCTTACCTTGCACATGCCAGGATTCCATATGGCTGCCAGTTTGTGTCGTGGTGGCCCCACTTCCTATCCAGCTCCCTGCTTGTTTCCTGAGAAAGCAGTCAAGGATGGCCCAAATCTTTGGAGCCTGCACCCACATGGGAGACCTGGAAGTGGCTCTGGGTTCCTGACTTTGGATTGGCTTAGCTCAGGCTGTTGTGGCCACTTGGGAAATGAAGATTTTCCTCTGTCTCTCTTTCTTTTTGTATATCTGCATTTCCAATAAAAATAATCAAATCTTTTTAAAAAGTGAACCCAAACAATTAGCAAAAACAAGTAAATGCAATGAAGTAGATCAAGAACTTCATGTGTCACTGTGTCATGAAATAGTGTTTTTGTTACCCTTTTGTTTGATCCTTCTTTCTTTGAATATCAGAACCTCACTTGTTAGAACAGCAATTCAGTTGTTGCAGCCAGCTTGCTTGCCCCATCTGTGTTGTCATAGCATAAGCATACTTGAAATGCCATTCATGAAGAACTGAGATGTTTGGTCTTTGGCTGCCATGTGCAGCCAGTCTAATAAGTCCATTTTTTTTGCTAATTCTTAGAATATTTTATCCATCAAATATGCCTGGGCCACATCTTGTGAGAGGTTCAAAATATTAGTTAAATGAATCCATAGCTCTGCCCCGGTGTGTTAGCCTAATGGCTAAATCCTTGCCTTGCATACCATACCCTATGGGCAACAGTTTGTGTCCCATCTGTTCCACTTCTGCTCCAGCGCCCTGATTGTGGCCTGGGAAAGCAGTAGAGTATGGTCCAAAGCTTTGGGGCCCTATACCTGTGTGGGAGACCCAGAAGAAGCTTCTGGCTCCTTGGTTTGGACTGGCTCAGTTCTAGCTGTTTCATCCATTTGGGAACTGAACCAGCAGATTGAAGATATTTGTCTCTCCTCTCTGTAAATATGTTTTCAATAAAAACAATAAATCTTAAAAAAATGAATCTATAGCTAAATAATCTGTCCTTAGCTGACTATATAACTCAAGTTGTGCATGACCAAATTTCCTCTAATTGTCTTAAAATATGACATAGTCATGAGTCTTTTTGGGTCTTTCTCACATGTTACCACTAGAAACTCTTTCCTTACTTCCCTTCTACCTGGCTAATTAGTACTTGGTCATTTTCAGAATTAAGTTAAAGGTTTCTTACATTTTAGAAGTTCTCTGTGCATCAGATATAATAAAGGAAAACTTCCCTAATATAAACAAATAATTGGGCATCAACATTCAGAGGGAAACAGAACTCCCCATATGATTTGCTAAAAGCAGTCTTTACCACGTCTCATAATAATCAAACTCTCTTCATTCCAACATGGAAAAGATCCTTAAATATGCACATGAAAAAAAATTAGTTGATGTAGAGAGACATCTTCCAGTCAGACTCACAGCTGACCTCTCAGGGGAAACTATTTAGGCCAGAAGTGAATGGAGTGCCATATTTTAGATTCTAAAAAAAAAAAAAAAAAAGTCAGCCCAGAATGACATACTCAGTAAAGCTTTCCTTTGTCTTTGAAAATGAAATAAGATTCTATCATAGTTAGAAAAGCTCAAAGAATTCACCTCTGTCAGACCTGCACTATGATGCTTAAAGATGTTCTTTTGACAGAGAAAAAGGAAAGCACCTGCCAAAACTAAAGGCAAATGTAGAGACTTCCCAATAAAACAAAAGCAGGAGACTAAATCAGACAGTTAATAACCCATTGCTAAAATGACAGGAGATTACTACTTATCGATATTAACCCTGAATGTGAGATTTAAACTCATAAATCAAATGTCATAGATTAGCAGACTGGATCAAAATCCATCTCTCTGTTGCCTACAAGATGCACATCTCACCAAAAAAGATATCAGGAAACGAAAGCATAGAAAAATATATTATAGGCTAGTGGGAAGGAAAAATATTCTTTCTTATATCAGATAATGTAGACTTTCATGTGAAAAACATCAAAAGAAATGAAGAAGAACACCACATAATGAACAAAGGATTTAGCCAGCAAGAAAGTATCACCATAATAAATATATACACAACAGATGTTGGGCACCTAGTTATGTGAAACAAATCTTAATGCATTTAAGGGGAGAAATAGACTCCCATAAAATGATAGTGGCAGCCTTTATTAACATCAGTTAACATTAACCATTAACTATCAATTAACCATTAACATCAATGGACAGACTGATACTCAGCAAAGGAAACAACAGAGCTCAACAAAACACAGAAACAGAGATCAGTATAACAGAATTGAAACCCCATAAGGGAGAGCACAGATATATAGCCAACTAATTTTTTACAAGAAAACTGAAAACAATCCAGGGGAAAAAAAGCCTGGCATTTACAACAAATGCTATTTGGACAATTCAATAGCAGCCTGCAGAAGTAAAAAAGCAAGACGCCTACCTATCACCTTATACAAAAGTCAACTCTAAATCGATCAAGGACCTAAATCTGCACCCAGAAGCCATCAAACCATTAGAGGAAAACATAGGAAGCATTCTCCAAGATACAGGAATTGGAAAAGACTTCTTAGAAAAGTCACCAAAAGCACAGGCAGGCAAAGCCAAAATAAACAAGTGGGACAAAATCAAACACTTATTTACAGCAAAGGAAACAATAAACAGAGTGAAGATACAACCAATGGAATGGGAGAAATTCTTAAACACTACACAACTGATAGAGGATTAATATCCAGGATTTGCAAAGAGCTTTAGAGACTCAGCAATAGCAAAACAACTCTGCAAAGAAATGGGCAAAGGAAATGAACTGATGTAATTCGGAAGAACAAATTCAAATGGCTAGTAGACATATAAAAATAAATCCTCAGACTCCTTAGGTGTCAGGGAAATACAAATGAAAACCACACTGAGGTTCCACCTAGTTCTAGTGAGTTTTGCCACAATCAGTACTCCACTAACATCATCTGCTAGTGTGGATATAGGGAGAAAAGTTCCCATCTTTACTGTTGGTGGGAGTGTAGTCTAGTGCAACCACAATGGAAGTCAGTATGGAGAGTGCTAAAAAAAACTGAAAATAAACCTTTTGTATGATATAGTCTTCCCATTTCTGGGAATATATCCAAAGGAAATGATGTCTGCGTATGAGAAAGGTATCTGCAATCCTATATTTATAGCAGCACTATTTACAATAGGAAAGACATGGAAACAACTAATATGCCTGTCAAAAAAGGAGTGCATAAAGAAACTATGGTACATCTACTCCGTAGAATACTACTCAGTCATTAGGAAGAGTGAAATTCTACATTTGCAACCTTTTGGTTCCAACTAGAGACCATTATGCTCAGTGAAATAAGCCAATCCCAAAGAGACAAACATCATATGTTCTCTTTGATATAAAGGCAACCTTCATTTGAAATGCAATAGTTCTTTCAATACTGTTTTTGCTACATCTCATGAGTTTTGATATTTGTGCTTTTAGTTTCATTCATTCAAAAATTTTTTTCTTACCACTTTTCTCACTGACTCATGTATCACACAGTAGCATCATTTGCTTCAAGAAAGTTTTTCATTTTCATTTCTTTGTGACACATTAGTTAGTCAATAGCATGTTATCTAACTGCATGACATTGTAAATTTTCCATTGTTCCTGTTGCTAATTTTGTTTTATGGCTTTTCATTTAAGGGTATTTATAGTAACTGTATAATAGAGACTATCACATCCAGATGTGAAGATGCAATGCAATGTTCATCTCTACTTCCAAGTCAAAGATGGACTCCCAATGAAAATGTTCAATATATCTTGATAATATGTTGTTGGACTCTCTGCGATTGTCCATATGCAATGTCATGATACAATTAAATTGCAAAATGATGGACTTATGGCTGTTTATTAAGGCCTATACTATTGTAATTAAATAGGGGAAATTAGTTGGGGGTGCATTTGGGGAGAAGGAGAGGGAAATCCCAGAGCCTGTGGAGCTGTTTCATGAAACAATAAAATAAACACGTTTAAAAAAAATCTGGAAAGGTGATATTTCTCAGTGTAAAATTACTTTCATTTTAGGTACTTCAATCAGTTAATGGAAAATATCATTCAATCTTGAGCCAAACTTTTTGCAACAACAGTTTTAGAAGTTCATGCATGGGAGTTAGTAAAGTGATTCTGTATAATGCTGCTTGTATGGAGCTGGCTTCTTTTCATGAGCTTTCATATTTGGAGCCTGCCAGGTTTGGGCTTTTTTTTTTTTTACTATAATTGGAAGTGTAATGGATAGTATTTTTGTGTTGAAGTAGTTGTAGTTATGTTCTACAAAATATTTAATAAACAATTCTGACTTTGCTCCGATCAACACACATCTACCTGCACTCACATAGGGGTGTGAATGTTCACATGCCTCTATGGTTCTGCAAAGGGTCTGGTTCGTAGTGATTTTCAGAGCTCACCAGGTGATTCTAATCTGTGGCCTGGGCTGAGAACTAGTGCTGTGAGCCATTCTCGGACACAGTGCACCCACTCTGCTGTTTTGTATAAATGTTCTCTGAGACCTATGGAGGATCTCATATGTTTTATCTGATTCCAAAGTCTTATTAAAAAGTAAAAAAGCATGTATTTACTTGTAAGTTAGCATTATAGGGAGAGACAAAGAGATCTCTAATCCTCTGGTACACTCCCCCAATGACCACAGTTTCTAGGGTAAGGCCAGGCTGAATCCAGGTGCTTCAAGCATTTGGGTCATCTTATTGCTACTTGTCCAATGCCATTAGTAGGGCGCTGGATTGAAAGTGGAGAAGCTTGGATGAAAAAGGGCACTGAGTCCGCTATGCCACAGTGGTTTCTCTGCACTATCTCCACCCAACCCTCTGCACTTGAAAAAACAAATACAAAACCATGAAGTTTTACTGTTTTGTGTGTAACTGTTCTGAGATTTGAATTCTTCCCTTTCAGTGACTCATATAGATATTGTCCTAGGTTGATTTTCCATTTTTTCTTTTAAAAATGCTTTCTAAGAATGTGGAAGAGCAAAGGAAATGACAGATATCTCTGAAACCATGCCCAAGGATACACAATAATTTCCCATATTTGTAAATTTTTCAAAGAAAATCTATATGCACACTCCAGCTCCTCCCCTTTGCCCTACAGATGCCATTTCTGCTGCAGTTGCTGCATCTAAAACACAGTTCTTGTGTTTTCACTCCGTATGTCTGTACCTATATCAACAAACAAAATCTAGTGTGTTTTAAAGTGTCTCAGCTGGCAGCATTATTCATGGTGGCAGGTCTGACTCTGGTGTATTCATTTTACCAATCTGTTCTTGACACAGATCTGCTTTCAAGTCACACTTCATGCATTTCCCAGTTGTGAGATATTGGGCACAGCTTTGGCCTTGGAAGTCTGTCTGTTGCTGCAAAATGAGGATAATAATACCTAGAACAGAAGGTGTTTTTAGTATTCAGTGAGATGATATATGTAAATCATTTATCTCACAAACATACACTAAAAATGTTTGCTTTTAGTGAGATAAGTGGTTGCTGCCTATTGTCTTGATATAAAATAAAATAGTGTGTTAAAGTGCCTGGTTCAGTAACAGGTGGGTTCCCTTTTGTCTTCCCTTTTGTCTTTCACCTAATCATCTCTTGGATATATTCATTGCTGTTTTCTGCATTTTGTCAGTGGAGAAGTAGTAGGGTGTGAAAGGAATCCTGGTTTGCCCATCACTCTGTCATGAATTCGCAAAGGCTGGGAAGACAGGAAGGGATAGTCAGCTACCCACTGGGTTACAGAATGTGAGAAATAGGATGGAAATGGAAGGTTTGGGGAGTGTGTACTCATTAGCCTTGCCAATGTCTTTTCATATTGTTTATTGCTACATGAAATTATAGAAGTTGGCAACATTCTGCCCTTGTATGTCTATCCCCATCTCTCTGTGGTTTCTTCTAGGGGATGCTCATCGAAATGTCATCATGTGGCTGGACCATCGTGCAGTCAGCCAGGTCCAGAGGATCAACAAGACCAAGCATAGAGTCTTGCAGTATGTTGGGGGAGTGATGTCTGTGGAAATGCAGGCCCCAAAGCTTCTGTGGCTGAAGGAGGTGAGTCTGTATACTCTGGATCAGCAAGGGCCAGACACACGGTTGACATCTGTAATTTATCACTTTACCTAGTAACTCTTTGGAGAAAGGTTGATCACATTTTACTGAGTAGGTTGTAAATTAAGCCACTTTATTTTTTGCTTGTTTGTTTATTACTTATTTTCATTTTATTTGAAAGGCAGAGATGCAAAAATAGAGCTTCTATCTGCTGGTTCACTTCCAAAATTTCTACAAAATTTCTACAAGGCCTTGCCAGGTTTAAGCCTTGAACTTGGCACTCCGTTTGGGTCTCCCCTATTGGTGGTAGGGACCCAAGTACTTGAGACACCATGTGCTACCTAGAGTGTGCATTAGTGGGAAGCTGGGATCAAAAACAGAGTTAAAATTCAAGCCAGGCATCCTGTAACCTAGGCAGCTTAACTACTGAGTCAAATATCTACCCTGCTTTGTTTTTATGTGCTGAATCCATGCTAGCCCAGTGATAAGCACAGTAGTGCTTCCAAAACTTTATGAAAGGGTAGATATATTTTAAAAGATGTAATATGTATATCATAATTTTATTTATTTTAAATATTATTTTCCATTTTGTAGTTTTGTAGGACTTCTTCCCTTCCCTCTTTTTTCTCCCTCCTCCTTCTCCCCTCCCCATTTTCCCCTATATTTTAGAATAATATAGTCCTTCAGCTGTAATTTTGGCTCGAATGTCCTGCTCTATATATGTCATGATGTTGTAGATATTAGCAATGGTACAGAGTCTAATATTTTGTTATCAAGGTATATTTAACAGTTTTGTCAGGGTCCTACTTTTATTTGGGAGTAGAAAGGCATAATGCAGTTCTTTGATTCCCTGTACTCTGGTCTCCAATACATCATCCATTTATGAGATTATAAATGTATATACTTGTTATTTATATATTTCTTTGATAAGTTGGGTGAATGTTACACACACATGCACACACACACACACACACACGAAAGCTAGAGTTAGAAAGGAGAGAGAGAGAGAAAGAGAATCTTCCATCCTCTGTTTCATGCTCCCAAAATGACTCACACAGCAAGGGCTCTGTCAGGCCAAAGTCAACAGCCCGGAACTCCATGCTTACAGTTATTTTTCAAGTAGTTAATAGGGGGCCAAAGAACCTGGACTATTTTATCCTTCCAGGTGCATTTGCAGGGAGCAAGATCAGAAGTGGAGCAGCCAAGACAATTGGCACTACATAGGATGTCAATTGACAGACTTAAACCGCTCTATGGCAACAGTTGGCACTCCTATTACTTTTTTCAGAAATCTTTATATTTTCTGTTGTGTCTTTGAATCCAACAACTCTTTGAAGTGGATTCTTTTTGAAAGATGAGTTTTTATTTTGCATATGAGAGAGGTGAAGCACATATGGATAGATCAGTTGGCCCTAGGGTAAACATTAAGTATAAAGACAGAACCAAGATTTGAACCTATGCCTATTGATTCCAAAATCAATCCTTTTACTATCTAGTAAGTTCCTGCAGTTCAGAGAGGTTAATTGCTATTACACTTAGAATGCAACAGAGCTTGCATTTAAATCCAGACCTCCTGAGAGATGCCTTCTGTTCTGTTTTTAGCCCCAAGTTGTTCATCTTTGAACTTGTTGACAGTTTAGGGTATTCCTTCTTTCCTTACCTTCATCTCTGGTTTCCAAGTCCTTGAATGATAGGGTGATCTCTGGTCAGAGCACTTGCAGGTGGTTCCCATTTCCATATGTTAGGGCTCCTTTATGAAGTGTGGAGAATGGTGATGTCAGCTTAATGGTTCCCATTAGAGATGGATGTGTGAGAAAGTTCAGGTCCTTTGGGAAATCCAGGGACTTGAAAATCCCTAGGTGGTCTGGGGAATGGAGAGTCTATTTAATGAATAAGACCTCTTGTGATTCATTGACTCACTGAAATTTTCAGGTGAGCAGAGTCTTCCATTATTTTCAGCTTGTGATTAGAGTTAGGGGAGCTGAGGGGTGCTGGAAAGGAGTCGCAGCATAGCCAAGATGGGGGAATGGGAAGTAAGAGAGAAGGGATTTAGTAAATCCCTTCTTTGGCTTGCCATCTATTTTATGCTTCTATATTGAGCCATTTTATAGAGCTTTTCTTTCTTTTTTTTTTTTTAAGAATTATTTGTTTGTTTTAAAGTTAAAATTGCAGAGAAAAAGAGAAAGAATCTTCCCTTCACTGACCGACTGTCCAATAGAATAGTGGGCCAACATGGAGCTAGGCCAAAACCAGGAGATTCTAATTAGTCTCCCACAGTGGCAGCAGGAACTCAAGTGTTGGACCATCCTTTGCTGCTTTCCAGGCACATTCTTGTGGAACCGAACAAATAGGGGAGTACCCAGGACACGAACTGTTGCTCCTATGGGATGCCAGTGTTACAGATAGCATTTTACCTGCTATGTCATAGCGCTTACACCATTTGTTCTAAATTTTCTCTTGCAGAAAGTTCCCATGCTTGCTTAAAGTGACTACAGATTTGCTTAGGGAGTACAGATTGCAATAATTTAATTCTTTTTTTAAAAAAGGTTAATTGTTGGGCCCAACATGATGGCTCAGTGGCTAAATCCTTGCTTTGAATACGCTGGGATACCATATGTGTGCCAATTCATTTTCTCTCTGCTCCACTTGCCATCTAGCTCCCTGCTTCTGGCTTGGGAAAGCGTTAGAAGATTGCCCAAGGTCTTGGCATCCTGAACTTGTGTGGGAGATGACCTGGAGAAATCTACTGGCTCTTGGATTCAGATCAGCTCAGCTCTGGCCATTGTGGCCACTGAAGCTATGAGGTTATAGACACTCTCAAATTGGAGGTAGAGTCACAGTCTCAACCCATGAAACCCCGTGACTGCTGGGTTCCAAATCCCAACTCCTCCCATCCTGTGATATGGTGCCAGAATTCTTCTGTAGAGCTAGACACTTGGGGAAGAGTTTGGATAGATACAGCATTGCTCTTAAGGCAATCTAAACTTGCTGTGGAATAATTGAGTTGAGTGTGTCACCCATCCGGTAGCATGGGAAGAAAACTTACACTGATTTAAGCAAGGAGAATTGGGCAGATGGTGGCTGGTTCATCATGACCTTATGGAATGACTGCTACATGAGCAGCATGGACCATACATCTCAGGAGATCCACAGGCACAGCTGGTATCAACCTCCTAGGATGCTTAATGCCAGGCAGATGAGATCACACTTCACTAAAGCCTACACAAAAATGAATACTAGATTACTTGTGACTTTTGAAGTTCCTTCTTTTAATTATTTTTTTTAAAGATTTATTTTTATTATTTTTTCATTGGAAAGGCGGATATACAGAGAGGAGAGACAGAGAGGAAGATCTTCCGTCTGATGATTCACTCCCCAAGTGAGCGCAATGGGCCGATACTATGCCGATCCGAAGCCAGGAGCCTCTTCCGGGTCTCCCACACGGGTGCAGGTTCCCAAGGCTTTGGGCCGTCCTGGACTGCTTTCCCAGGCCACAGGCAGGGAGCTGGAAGGGAAGTGGGGCTGCTGGGATTAGAACCGGTTCCCATATGGGATCCCGGGCGTGCAAGGTGAGGACCTTTAACCACTTGCGCCACCGCGCCGGGCCCATGTTTTAATTATTTTTAAAAACAAGTTTCTTTTCAGAATTTTCTGAATAAGGCTTTCCTCCACTTTTCCTTTACTGCATATTGAACTCTCTGAAGATTGATTTCAACTGTGCATTATTTTTATATTCTTGGTAAGCATACCAGGGAGTTCTTGTTGAGATTCCTCTAGATTTATGGTCATTGCAAATTCAAATTGAGAGATATTTCAAAATCATTTGTGCACTTGACTAGGATGGCTTAGGCAGCTTCTCAAACTTTTTTTTTCTGTGTGTGTGTATAAATCACTCACGCAGAGATCTTGTTCAACTGCAAATTCTGGAGTAGGGACAGAACACTGGAAGATTATCATGTCTAACAAGTTACAGACTTATGAAACCACTCTTAATTCTATATGTTCTACTATGAAATACGTATAGTTGTGAATCAGGAAAAAAAAAGAATATGGATGATGAGAGAAACAGGTGAGTTAGATAGGTTTGGTAGAATTGTTTCAAGTGAACATTTAAAATGAAGACATGAGCCTCTCTGAAATTCACTGAGTTGTCGTTTTTATGTTCTTTAATTCATTCCTCAATTACCCACATTGTAACTGAGCTGCAGCTGTGAACCATCTACTGTGATGGGCTCCTGGGACATGAGAACAAAAATGACTCAGCCTTACCTTTGAAGGGTTGAGTCTCCTAAGGATAGAGATCATTAGGGCACAGAGTAGGAGCTGAAGAGAGCTGTGCTATATCACAAATTTCAAAAGATGCAGGAATATATGGAAATGATGGTTTTGCTTAGTATAGAAGATAGGATGGATGAAAGTTAAGAACTAAGTTTTTTCACTCTTCTGTTGTACATTGGTGCCATTGCATTGCTCTTTTCATAAATTCTGAAGTTTATAGCATGGCCCAGGAGTTATCAGGGTAGGTAGTTTTTACCTCTTAACTGTGTGTCCTCCATGTTCTTGCTCATGTCCATCCATGGGGTCCACACAGGATTCCTGACATACACTTACTGCTCTGCTGCCTCAGAATCCTGGCTAGAGCTTAGCAAAATTTGGCCTAAGGCTTGTTGTTGAATGGTTTTGCCAATGGAAATTACGTGATGTTAAAGTTTTAGTTATCATAACTTCAGTTTTATTGGAATATAGCCACACTCATTTGCTCATGTCATGACGGTGCTACCTTTGTATTACAGTGTTAGTGTGACACAGCTGAGCAATTGAGACAGCCTAAAAGGCCTGCCAAGTGGGAACTACACACAATTTCTACCTATTGAAATGAAGTTTATGGGTCCCCAGTCTTGACAGTGCTGTGCCTTCTGTCCTGATTCTTCTTCTTTGTCCCACCACTGGTTTTTCTTTGTTGTTTAGGTATTAGACTTACATAGAAAAGCTTTTCCTGGCCC